CTTTGTTCGGTTCAAACATAACTTTCTTATTGAAAACTAAAATTAACATTTCATTGTTTTAATTATAAGCTTCTTTTGAAAATCATTAACGATTCAATGGAATACTATTATTCTATATTCTATTAACAATTATTGTTTTAGCATTAAACTATCGTTCAGTCAATTATAAGACATTTTGGACAAAAGTTGTAATATTTTTGAAACATATACATTTAACTATTGTTCTAATGATAGGTTATTATTGTTTGCAGTATAGGATATTATGAAATGTATACGTTTTTATCATTGTCACATTTACATGAAGTTCTCGATGCAATTAGAACTTGTATTTATTTAATTATAGGAATTAATTATAAAAATACTAAAATGTGGCGTCTTTATGCAATTTTAAGGAGGCTATTTCATATAAAGTTTTCTTATCAGAGCCCCATTTAAAAAGTTAGAGCTCCTTTTAGGTAGGAGTACAAATCAAGTTCTTTAAATTTTTTTTTCAAAAATGGAAGAAAATAGAGAAACAATTTTGGCAGAAGCGTAGTACTAATAAAATAACACTATATAATTTAAAAGTCAGCCAGGTTAGCATTAGTTTCTGCCAAAATTCGTTTCTCTATTTGCATCATTTAAAAAAAAAATAAAAAAAATCAGTTCTACTCCTACCTAAAAGAAACGGCCCTTGTTTAGGGGAAGCTCGGATAAAAAATTCTTATAGCCTGCCTCCCTAAAGGTTGCCTAAAGCTCCCACAGTTTTATTTTTTCTAACCATTTCCAAGATATCCTATAAATTAAATTTTTGGATTATAAAACATTAAAAAGCATGTAAGTAAATGAAATTTTATTTTTTTTAATATGTGAGTACATAAAAATAAAATATATATATATATAAAAAAAAAATATATTAACAGTAAACTATACCTAAACATTCTGTTGCAGCCCTAGAATGGTCAAAATACAAACATATGCATAAAAAATACAATCTTTATAAAACAAAAAACTTAAATGTTTTCTTCATCATTGCAGGGGTCATGAGGTGTAATTATTATAAGAATCTGTCTAGTGTTACTAGATTTAAATTATTTAAGCAATGGACAACTTTAGGGGAACAATTAATAGAATCTAGTGGAACAGATATGTATTTATTAGTATATTTGATTATATGAGCTTTATAGTGATCACTTATTCCCTCCACTTTTAATTTTTCGCATATTACATACATTATCCTCGTGTTCTCTTGTAACACTAAAATATGTTTAATCATAGCATATTCATTTTCAAAATTGATAACATGAGATATATTAAATTTTATTCCATTTTTTTCATACCACTTGACTTCGAAGAAGTTGTTTTTGTAATAGTTAATATCAAAATTGTTTTCGAATTCATAATCTGAATAATTAACTGATTGAAAAGTTGGTTTACTTAAAGAAGTACGATCGTCCAAACCAGTTTCCGAAATACATCTGCAACCAAATTGCATTTGACATTTTTTAGCTATAGTTAATGGAATATTTTTACGAGTTTGTACGCTGTTTGCAATTTTTTTTAACTCTCTGTGTTTTGCCTCAAATCGAAAGCTGGATGTTTTACAGAGAGGTCCCACTTTTCTAATAATAGAGGGATAGTGTAGTAAAAAATGATGTTTTGGTTTAAGGTTATTATTCGGAAATAAATCTACTAAAGATTGAAGATATTTTGAAATTATATTTTTTAAATGATCTACGGCAGTCCAACTAATTTGAGGTTTTAAAACAAAGTCAGTAACTTCAAGTAAGTTTTTATACAATGCCCAAACAGGATCGTCATGTGGAACAAAATCTCCTATTATAAACCTGAAATTTTTGACAAAACAACTCATCTCTGCCGCAGAGAAAATGATCATACCTTTATCTAGATGTTCTTGTTTAATATCTGGAGGATAGTTGTTTTCCAAGTTATCAAAATGAAAATATCGAAGCCTTGAATTAAGTGTATTGATAGAAAAAAAGTTGTGTTTTATAAAGTAGTTTATGAATAATGCCATATCGTACCTATGAATTCCTTCAAATAAATCGTGCATGATATCTACAGAGTGATTGTCATAAACATGAAAATATTGCAGTTCATTCCAAACACAAATATCCTTTATTCCGAATGTTTTGTTAGATAAGTGACATTCATAATCACCTCTATTACGCTCGTCAAATTCGTAAAGTTGTGTTTGATGTTTAGTTACAGATTTATGGGATGTACAAAATCGACAGAAGTAATTTGCAGAAAAACTCTCAACGAAACCAAATACAGAATTTAGTCCTAGGTTGTCACCTACAATTAGAATAACAGCAAAAAAAATTTTAAGTTTTTGATTATTAAGTTCAATTTCAAGGCCATTTTGTTCTAAATATTTAAGGTCTTCCAGTAAACAATTAAAAATAACTTTATTGCCAAATTCGCTTCTCTCAGAACTATGAAATAGTAATGTTAAGAATATGTTTTCCAATCTGCTAATATATTCCGGAGGAATTGAGGCAATTGTAAAGTATACAGCACCGACTTTGTAAATACCTGCGTGACTACCTAGTGGATTGCAAGTTTCAAAGTCATCAAAATATATAAACAGGGGAAATGTTGTCTCCTTGGTAGATTGTAGAATTTCTTCCCACAGGCTACCATTTAAAATATTTGACAAAATTGTTCCTTCAGATCCGCTATTTTTTGAAATATAACTATTTTCATGATAATTTAAAATTTTTTTTAACACCCCCGGAATTTTTAAAAACCTTTCAAGTGTTTGGGATGGTGGTATGAAAGTACAAGTGCGATTTTTTAGAACCAATGACGTCTCATTATTTTTTCTGGAAACAGCTTCTGTTGAACCAATAATTACTGGAATCGGTGTTATATATTTAGTAGATTGTTCTAATAGCTTAAGTCTTTTATAGTCAGAATTAACTGTATTAAAACTTAATAATATTTTATCAATTAAAGTTCTTGCTCTCTCTAAACAATTATTGGTTACTTCATTATTAATACTAGTATGACTGTTCAACAGAAATTCTTTCAGTATATCAAAAAACCCAAAATTTAAAAATTCCTCAAACCAATTAATAATTTTTTGAATAAAACTACGAGGAATTGCTAGCTCCATGTTTAATTTAGCCATAAATTCCAAAACTGCTTTATGTAGTATAACTGTAAATTCTTCGGATTTTTCAATAATATTGAAAGAAACTACCTCCTCAAATTCGTTACTACTGGTAGAAGGCTTATTTTCTTTTACAGTTATTTGTGAAATATTATGTGATTTTTTTATGGTACCAATTATGGTAATGTTTTCTGATGAATTGTGTGTAGTAATATGTTTTTTAAAATTATCCCTTCTTGTAAATGATCGGTTACAAATTGGACATTCATAGTTATATCTCATATTATGTGCATATTCTAAATGATGAACGAACAAATTTAAACCACCGATACTTTTATTGCAATAATTACACCTCATGGCTTCCATTTTTCTCTAATCTAAAATCTTTAACAAATCGGATATATTTAAAGTATTGGTATCTGACGGGATAGGAATATCATATATTACTTTTTGAATCAGTAACCAAATGTACTCTGATTGTACTGGGTACTTTATATTCAGGGCAAAGAAACATTTAAATAGCAAATCTAATCCTTTCAGAACACTTTGAACATGAAAATGTAATTTGTCTATTACTATATAAGTATTACGGACATCAGAAATCTGTGGTCCTTCCACAAGCAGGTAGGGTTGAACTTGGCGGTATATTTTACGTTTTTCAGCTTTCTTAATCTGACTTTCTATTTTAAGATCTATGTCACCAGGAAGCTGCAATTAATTTTTATTGATTATAGACAAAAATAATACATTTTCTTTGTGGATGATTATTATAATCATGGAGTTTTCTTTTTATAAAAATCTGACAAGTAATATTAGAATTTTTGAAATTCAATACAATCTGATATGTTCAGACTCGTACAACATTTGTAATTTATCATAAAAGTACATACTGTAATTGCCTTTTTAGTATAAAATATTGAAATCATGTTTTTAAACTACATTGTTAAATATTAGTACCACTACAAGTAAACTCAAAAAATAAAAAAAAAAAACAATGGAAACATTTAATACTAGGTACTTAATAAACATCTTCTTGAAAAAAAAACAAAAACTTACATTGACATGCACAATGAGACCTTCTACGGATTCGTTTGTGGTGAATTTCCAGCGGTCTTTTCCCACTTTGGCCCTGCTCCTCGGAGGAATTAATCTTGGCAACAGTGATATTTGTAAAAACACCTTTGAATCTGAAAACAAATAAAGGATTAAACACAGGAATAATTTTTTTTGTCGTTTATTGTATCCTATTTTATTATCACTCAATAACGCAGAAAATACAGATGCACAGAATCAGTGATATTTTTAAAAATATAACTAGTTACCTTCAGAAAGGTTTTCAAAATTTGTTTCCAGAATATTAAGGAAATCCTGTAGTGTATTGTCCCTCGTATTAAGTTCTGCACACTTCTTCTTCTGTTTTAATATACTTTCAAAAAACAGGTCCCATTTAGATAATAACATTAATTCCTTTCCAGGATGAAGATATTTAAAATCGGCTTCAATCTACAAAACAAAAAATGTTCCATTTATGTTTTAATAAAAAAACATCTGCACACATTTTGAATAGGTGTAGAGAGATCTAAGGTATTTGTCTAAGGCAATGTACATTTTTATATACAGATTATTGAATAGGTATTTAAATTTTAATTCTTGGTTTTAAGTATTTTTCAGATTTTATGGTATTAAGGTAANTTGTACTAACCAAATTTGGGCAGAACATAATATAACTATTTGGATCAAATTTAGGAAAAAATCAATTTTGACCAATAATTAGGCCAGTTTTCACCCAAATAGTGGATTTTCAGAGAAATATTGATGTCATGGATTTTTACTAATGGCATTGTGTTCAGCGCCCCAAATACTACGAAAATGATATATTTGGAGAAAATTTAGGAAAAATCAGTTTGTGTCCTAATTTATTCGTTTCTATAAAAAAACTGCATTTTTCTAAATTAATTTTTAATTAATTAATTTTATGAAAAACTTTGCGAAGCCTAAATAAATGCTGTTGAAGGTAGAACCTGTGACTAAAATATCATCCGTAAAGATTACTACACCTTCTAATTTTCCAAAAGTTACCTCCATTATTTTTTGAAATATGCTAGGACTGGATGCAATGCCATATGGGAGTCTATTATACATAAAAAGTCCTTTATGAGTATTAATTGTACAAATTTGTTTAGAATTTTAATCAAGTTCAAATTGCAAATATGCTTGTGACCAATCAATTTTGCTAAACAGAACACCACCGGATAAGTTAGAAAATAATGTCTGTATTTTTGGCAAAGGATATTGATGAATAAGTAAGTTTTGATTTACCGACACTTTAAAATCTCCATATATTCTAATGTCCCCATTTTTCTTAATCATCGGTATAATAGGGCTGGCCCATTCAATGTAATTTAGAGACGTTAAGATACCCTCATTTACTATTTTTTCTAAAGCATTTCTACCTTTTCCTTCAAATGTATAGGTTTTAAATACAAAGTAGCTTTTCCCAACTTTTTATCGAAAATATCTTTATATTCATTTATTAAATTATTAACTTGATATTGCCATTAGTATGGGTAATATTATGAACTGCAATATTATTTATTATATTAATTTTCAATGAAGAAAGCCAATTTCGACCCAATAAAGGAGGACCACCATCAGGAACAATTTTAATGTTGTTTCATTTTTATAATAATATACTTTAACTAAAATAAATTCTTCTGTAAATAATTGAAATAGATAGTGTCAATTTAAAGTCAATAATTGAGAGATGAGAAAAATGTTTGTTGTAAAGTTTATCTGAAATAAGCGAAAGTGCTGCTCCTGTGTCTACTTCCATTGACAAATTATTATTTTCAATTTGCACCTCAACTTTAATTGGAGTTAACTTAGGTACTTCTAGAATTTATATTAAATAAATTTACAGAACAATCAGTGTCAGAATCAGATAACTGTTCAGATTTTAATTGTGTTACATTTCTATTATCAGTATCAGTGGAATTACCTAAATATTTTTTTTTATTATTTTTAAGTTTTATTCTTTTTGCAAACATATTTTAGATGACCCTTCTTTCCACAATTATCACAAATTGCGTTTTTGTAAAAACACTCACCCTGGGTGTGGTTGCGTCTATCACAAATCAAACATTCCGCCATCTTCTTCTTCTTCTCCTTTGTTGGACCTCTGCGCATCTGCTGTTGACGGATAGATTGTGACGTCGATTCCTATGACACCAACGACCTCCGCTGGAAATTACTATGAACCGGAATTGCGGCCATCTTGGGAACAGGAAGAACTGCCATTTTGTAAATGGAAACCACGTTGTAGTCTATGGACTGGTTGATTAGCTTCTACGAAAGAAACTTGCCTTTCTGCTGCCTCCATGTTTCTTGCAGTTTGAAACGTTTCATTAAAGTTCAGAACTTTTTCGGAAAATAGCCGTTGTTTGATAATCTCATTGGACAGACTTGATACAAATTGATCCCTTAAATTTTCATCCAACTTTTCTTTGAAGTCACATGTTTTGGCTAAATTTTTGAGAGCACCCATGTATTGTGTAATGGATTAGGTACCCTTTTTCTTGTCTTCTTTGACGGAATTTATGTCTTTTGACAATTATGGAAGGTTCAGGTTGGAGATGGTCTTTTATTACCTTAACCAAATCCTTGTATTCCTTTTCTTCGGGAGTATTTGAACTGCATAAATCTACCATTAATTCGTAGGTTTTGTCGCCAACAACTGTTAATAACGAACCACTTTTAAATTGTCTTTAATTTTATTTGCAATAAAATATTGTTCTAATCGAGCAATATAAGTTTTCCAGTTTTTACCACTAGATAACTCGAATTCATTCATTTTTCCTACGGACATTTTACTTTTATTCTCGTCGCCACTTGTAGCGTTCTTGCCGAGTGTTCTTGTAGATTGTGTTTAAACGAGGTATTGATTTTTAAAACATTTATTTCAGGACACACACAGCTATATATTTACAAGGAACAAAAAAACTACTATAATAAAAACATGAATAAACGAACAGAGCGCGACAAATACAAAGACATTCATTAAGTTTTTTTGACTACAGGATAGCGCTCAGCGCATCGAATTCCCTCAGAAATGACGTGGATCTCTTGGGTTTGGACCTTTTTATGTGTACCTGTGTTATTAGGTTATAATTCTATTATATTTTTACTAATCTAATTTGATTATTCTGTGATATTAATAAATTAGGTTTATTCGACTTAATTGTGTAAATAAAGCATACCAGGTAACACTGTGCCTTTGCCTTTAGCGCACCATTTCAGTCAGCATACTGTACCAACGAAGGACTACCCATGTACGGTATACTGACATATGGACACGGGATATCAATAGACAACCCAATTTCCAATTATCAAAACGACAATCAGTCGCTACACTGTAATTCCTGCAACGGCTAGAACTTCGTTAATAAATCACACTCGATAAATTAATTATTTGTGGAGTCTAGTTCAAGCAGTCCGTGTCTCGATATCTACATCGACCAATCTAAGTCCCCTTGTGGAGGAACGTCTTATTAACCAAAGTGTATTATGCAATTAGCCAAGTTGTAAAC